TTATGCAACCGTACAGATAAGTCAGTGGCGTATGATCCCATGCATGAGTAATGAAAGTTTGGAGTTCCCTTCCATTAAATGCAAAAAAGTAAGCTAGAAGATGAGTGTTGAGAAATACCCTGACATCTAAGAAAAATGGCTGCTTAGTTGAGGATAGAGAGATGAATCCTCTTTGGCTATCCTGATTCAACGGGGTCTCAAAGTGCCTTCCCTTCCCGGGAAAATAACCTAGATAGAAGACGGCAAACTTCTATCAAGGCATAAACGACGTTCCAGATCTGAAAACACCAAGCTTTCTAAGCTTCAATAAACTTGGCGCTCAAATACACTTATTTCCATTTCATGCAAGTTCGATTTACTACAAGACTCTTCCACTCAAGCCGATGTCAGTTAGCTTGAAGAAAACCAGCCCCCTTTCTTTCCACCGAGTACCTACCCTATTAAGTTGGGTGCGCTTATCCTTTGCAGGGAAGATACGAATAACATCACCGAAACGACTGAAAATCTCCCGCAAATCCGACTCGCTGGTGTTCTCAGGTAAGTTAGTAACACGAATAGAGAAGCCGTCCATCCGACGGCGCTCTGGGACGCTGTTGGTTGCTGCAGCAGCCGCTCGCAGAGCCGGAGGGATGTAACGACCAGTGTTGAGCTCAGGAGCTATTTCCTGGACTGCTGCCTGCAAAGCAGATGAACGATAGCTGAGAAGAATGACTCATCTGCCTATTCTTTGGGATATCCAAATGATTTCCTTCTAGCCGAACTTAGCATCACATCAAAGGAAGCATCTTGCCTTTGTCAAAGGATCAGCATTCTGCGAATCGATACCCACTGCGTTCGCAGAGTCCATGAAGGAGCGCAGAGCCTCCATTTCGCTTCGGAAGGGACATTGGAGGGAAAAGTGGGCACCCTTGCAAGTGCGACAGGTGACCGCTTGTTTGGGCTTTGATGCGTTTGATTTGGAATTGATTTCATCGTCTGCCTTACCTCCAGCCTCAACCTATTTTGGAACAGAGGAGAAAACCCTTTTAATGTCATGTTTTCTACGAATTCTGTCTGCCAGAAACATACTATTTCGAGGTTTAGCTCAACTGCGCTAAAGTTAACGGTAATCCTCGGTGTCCATATCTACTGATGCTTCATTCTTCTGTTTTTCTCGGGGATTCTTCTATACCCAATCAGGTGCAAGCACGTTGCGCTCAATTGGAGCAAATAATTACCGATAAAAATGCCTACTTTTCCACTAAACAAATGGTACTGTAGATAGGGAGATACTTTAAAAGAAAAGATAATTTTTGGCTGACTACTTGACACTCCCAAATGCGAAGCATAAAAATACAATTATCATAGATGCCCATAAACATAAACAGAATTTGAATATCGCCTAGTTTCCACGGTAATGTGACCCCAATAAAACGAGAAGAAATCCAATCTTAATTATGATAAATTGGACT